TCTCTTGTCGTTAAAACCTTCTTCAGGCTTTCTAAGAGTTCCTGTAATAAGTAAGAGGTGGAAAAGTTGGAAAATGGTTAAGCTCTAATCCAAAAGCTATCTGTGTATCTGTCTTGTCTGTCTGTCTATCTGTCTGTCTAACTTGGACTCTGCAAATGCAAAGAATGGGCATGGATGCCAATGGCAGGTCTTTATGACTTAAAAATTCACCTGTAGCCCAGAAGAACCATAGTTCTCGGCATCTCAGCACAGAATCTGAGTGAGGAATGTTGGGGGAGAAGAGGGTTTTATGAGCCTGGGAACCTAGGGTAACTTTGTCTCCTATCCCATTACTTGGGATAAGGGAAGGGCCTCAGTCACGTCTGCTATCCACATGGATGGGTGGACCGCTCTCGTTGGCAGGCCACTGCGAAACAGAAGACGTTCGGGTCAGTGACGGCCTCTACCCTGTGCCCTGTGTGCTGAGTTCAAGGGCTACAAAGATGACTAAAACGTAGTCCCTGTTCTTGGCGTTTACCTCTAGTAGAGGAAGCAGAGGCAGGAAAGGATCATTTCGGTTTCAGCAGGGTCTTGAAGGAGGGGCCAATGAGCCTAATGCTGAGGTGACATTTGAGCTCAGTCTTAGTGGACCAGTGAGGGCCTGGTGAACAGTGGTTGGAAGGGTGTGTCAGGCTGAGGGAATGTCATCAACAAAACTTGCAAGGGGGAAACGCAAGGGGGTGTATTAGAAAGGACTACAAAGAGTTTGGTTGCCAGTGCTTAGATTGCCCAACACATGGTTGACCCTTAAATGTTGGTTCAGAAAGTGGAGCATAGTTATGAGATGGTAGAGATGAGTCGGAAGCCATTCATAGGTGTCAGTGGTAGGCGGTTGTCAAGTTATACACACTTAGAATGTATTATATACTTAACTACATGCCAGGCGCACATGCTAAGTACTTTATATGTATTAACTTAGTTGATCTTCACAAAAGTCCTGTGAAGAAGATATTCCTATTTCTTGATGTGGTAAATGAGGTCCAGAGAGGTTAAATAAGTTGTTCATGGTCACATGGCTAGCAAACGATAGAACTGGGATTTGAAATAGCGAAACCTGGTTCCAGAGCCTGTCTTGTCCGTGTGCTGTATTGCCTTTCTGACAGCCACAGGAGTGATGACACGGTCAGATCTGCTCTTTAACCAGACAACGCTGGCCGACGCGTGGAGGGTGGATTTAAGGGGAAAGGAGGCTCGTGGGCCTGCTGGGGCTATGTGCCAGCGCTGCGTGTGTGCACTTGACATCACCTCATTTAATCCTCACAACTTGGGAGGAGGGGGGGTGCCTCAGTCACGCACCTGTATGAAGGCTGGTATTACTAGAGATGCGGAAGCTGAGGGTCAGAGTGGTCGAATAACTTGCCAAAACTCATTCAGCTAGAAAGGAGAAGAACTGGTTTGGGATTCCGGAGCCCTCTTCTTTTCCAGGCAGTCTTTGCCTGCCCTCTTCCAAAGCACCACCCAGAAACGACAGCACACCTGGGGACGGTGGTCCCTCCTGCGGTGGGAGGTGTGGCTTCCCCTAGTGAGTTCCACCTCCTCAGTCCCTGCGGCTGGGCTGTGCGTGTGGTGTGTGTCGGAATAGCCTAGCTTCCCACCTCATTCATCGAGTTCTTCATGACTTCCCTGAAGAGTTCATCCCTCTCACCCCTCTATCCTGGGGTCACGCAGAAGGTTCTGTGTGGAGTCCCAGCTGCAGTGGTGGCTCCTTGGGAAGCTGGTCTGTCAGGTGGGCCAGCGGGTTTGATTGTGTGCTCCCTATGCATTTGGCCCTCAAAGTGGTGTCTCTAAGGTCTTTGTTTTTAATCATAATAGTTCACATATTTTCTTTCCATGCTGATCAGCAGGAGTCAGCTGGGGGTGGTAGCAGATCTTCCTTTAATTTCCACCGTGATGGATTCTCACTTCATTTAAAGTGGTGTTTAATTTGTACATGTGCCCTGAGGCTTTTAAATATTGAGCTCATTTGATTATTATTGGAAATCCATTTGGATCTCACAGTATGTTCAACGACTTGGACTTGGGAAGCGCCATGGAGCCTGCAGCCCCGTCAATGGGTACCAAGTTTTAAAAATTAAAATGGGGTGCGTTCTGTAGCTCCATACCCTCAATTTCTCCCTTAAAAAAATAACTCATTTATTTTATCTTCCTTCCTACAAACTGACTCAAAGAAGCAGCTTTAAAAATTTTCCCCAAGAGGGAAAAAGATAGTAACGGGACTATTTTCTCATGCCTAGCTGGCATCTGTTTTTCTGTCACTCACCCTACTCTTCTTTCTCTTCAAGTGCAAGGACCCTTTCTTGACCCTGCTTCACCTTGCTTTTCACTCGTACCCCCTCATTGCCTCTAGTCTTCCCTGTACCCATGGAACACGGTTCGTATTTCAGCAAGACACTTTCCTTTCTTAGGGGAGGAAGGTGGCTTTGCTTTTTATTTTTTATTTTTAATTATTTTTTGAGAGAGAGAGGGAGAGGGAGGGGGGAGAGGAAGATCAATTTATTGTTCCACTTATTCAAGTGTTCATTGGTTGATTTCTTGTGTGTGCCCTGACTGGGGATCAAACCCACAACCTTGGTGTGTGGGGATGATGCTCTAACCACTGAGGTACCCAGCCAGGGCAGGGGTCAGCTCTTGGATGCTTACACGCTCCTATGAAAGAGGGAGGAGACAGTGACGTGGAGCAGCAAAGATATTGCCTCCTGCCCAGGCAGCACCAGGCAGCCTGAGGTAATTGCTTATGAGGTTGATTTTTTCCGTCTTTTTAAGTTCTGAGCTATGCTATGCAGTGAATGTGTGTGTGAGTATGCATGTGTATGGGACATACATTTAATATAGACTGTATAAATGCACTTTGCTCATAACATAGCTTTGAATAAGTTTGGGGATTCAGATTTGAAATGGAGCAAAACTAGAAACCCCTGCCTGTGACCCTTTTTGGGGGGGTTTCCTACAGAAAAGAAGTGAGAAAAGAAATAATTCTACTCTGGGGAAATACATAATTTAGAAGCCGGCTGCATGTATAAGAAAACAGACTCCGTGGCTGCTCTGTAAACCCAGACTGGCAGCCAGGACTCATTGTTTCCTTTTCATCCCTCAGTGTTTGTCTAAGACTGAGGGGCCAGCGCTCCCCGTGCTCCCCACTGGGCAGCTACGGCCGTGAACTTCAGAAGCAGCTGGCCTTCGGCGAACCTCCTGCTCACTTCCCCTGCCTGTCTTTTCCATCCCTTACTTTGCCCTACCGCCCCTTCCTTTCCTGGAAATACTGGTCTTCCTGAGAATGGAAGAGGAGTATCGGAAAGTTCAAGCGTACTTCAGGAGACCGCGTACCCCGAGGTGGGTCCTTGGCTCTTTCTGCCACCTGCGGTACATCAATACTGCGGTCTCCCACGGGCGTGGGTTTTCCCCACTCCCAGAACGTGCCCAGGGTGAGGTGAAGGGGCCCTGGATCCAAAAGTCGTGCATCTTCCGCCTCATCTCCGGTTATGTCCAGGCCTGACACTGGGCAAAGCAGTTCTCACCTCCATACTCTTCGTGTTCCTATAGAATTCAGTTTATCCCGATTTCACGCCTTTAAAATTAAACTGTGCAGGGCGGACATTGTGCCTGGGCTCCTGTAGGCCTGAATTCCTTCAGCAGGTGGACATCTCATGAGTGGGGTACTTGCTTGGCTCAGGGGTGCCCAGGGGACACGCAGGAAGGGGGGACATGACCACCGCTGTCCTTCAGCCTGGGGCTGGCGAGTGATACCGCTAGGGAAGGTAGGGAGTCCCAGGGCTCTGGCGGCCTCCAGCGAGTGCTGTGGGGGGCGGGGTGTCGGCTTTCCTTTGGAAGACTGGAGCCCAGCAAGATTTAGAGGAAAAGAACTGTGATTTGCGGAGTTTCTCTAGACATCCAGATGGATCCCAGACATAATCCAGCAAGGATGATTGGTTTTGTTTGTCTTCCTCCCCGGTCTCTCTAAGTAATTTTATCTTCAAAGCGTGGCACAGGTGCTAATTAACACTGGGGCTCTCCTTGGAGGGAGGCAAGTGGGAACAGGGCCCCGGGAGCGAAGCTCTGGGAATAGGCAGGTCGTGGGCCTGACACGGCAGAGCGAGGCTTAGGCCGCGGGGCCCTCAGACCTTCACTTGGACATACCCCGGGAGACACCCCACTGTCTCACTGTCCTTGGTCTCCAATAGAATAAAAGAGCTCAGGTTCTGGTAGGAGATATTTGGTACTGTGGGATGAGTCATGGGAAGTTTGAGGGTTGAGGAGGAGTTCTGGTAAAATTCACTGTCGTTGTGAATTTTAGGTGTTGAGACCTGATTATTTCATTGGTTTCATTTATTCACTGGAGTTAAAAGAGAAGTACCAAGCATCTGCTTCTGGGCAAGATATGGCAAGGGGAGTTACTTCCCTCCAAAAAGCCGGCTCGCCGTGAGGGAGCTTGATCCTTCGAGTCCCACGCTTTGTCCGTGAGCAGAGCGGAGCGTGGGGTTCGCTCTCTGCACGTGCGGTTTCGAGTGGTGGTGGATTCCTGGCATCTGGAAGTGGGTGAGAAATCCACATGTGACTGTTGATGTAGGGACTCCCTAGAGGCTGAATTTCTCTTTTTACTCTAGCTGTTTGTCTTAGTTGGCTCAGGAGAGGGGGACCTTGGAGTCCTCGCCCGGGGCCTGTAGGTAGTGCACCCTGAAGCCTAGCCTTGTCTAGGGCACCTTAGAATGGTGATCGTGCCATTTGCTGGGTGTCGGTGAAGGGCACCTAGGGACTGCTGAGAGGGCCAAACCTCTGGCTCTAGAAAAGCAGCAATTCTGGGCTCTCCAGTGGATTCTTTCTCTTTCATCGGGCATCTTGACACCATGAAGAAACAGACGGTGGTCATTTTGTCCTGTGAATGGTCCTCTCCTGGTGGCACTCTAATTGCTTTGCAGGAGGCCCCGCTCCCTCGGCTGACGCTGTCCCCCTTCTCTTGCATGCAGGCCGCTGAGAACCGGCCCCAGACCTCCTCTGAAGACATCGCCAGTGTGTGGAGCCTGCCCCACACCCACCCCCTGCCAAACCACGGCCTTTACCTGTGTCTTCCGGTGTTTCCCCTGCGACCCGTCCTGTGGGAGTGCCTCGTGGGCCGCCCCAGAGTTCGCCCCACGCTCCACGGCGCCAATGGTGAAGATGACAAGATCCAAGACTTTCCAGGCGTACCTGCCCTCCTGCCACCGGACCTACAGCTGCATTCACTGCAGGGCCCACTTGGCCAATCATGATGAACTCATTTCCAAGGTACACGTTCCCTGCGGGCCTTTCTCACCTCCTGGGGGGAGGGCACTTCCTGTCCCTCAGGTTGCAAAGGTTGACAAGCTCTCCCAAAGAGCCTGGGATATTTGTACTCCCATCTTCTGTGCAGGGAGGGCTGGCCCACAGGGCTGTCTCATTCAACTGAGAAAGAGCTGAGTTTTGTTACTTTGGAAATTAGGTGCCATCCCTGTGGGCGGCTGGCAGGCCGGGGGAGGGGCTGAGGTTGGCAGATGAGCACCGTCCAGAGAGCCGCCCGCCTGGACGGCGAGTGCAGAGAACGTGGATGGGGCATGGATAGCTTGTCGCAGGGCTTTTTAGGAGAGTTGAGAGGGGATATTGCCTTCCAGGCCCCTGGGAAGGTCAGGAGGCTGCTGACTTGGGGGGAGGACCAGAAGTGACTTGGTGAAGACCTGACTCGCAGGCCTGTGCGGACATTTGGGGCTTTCTACATAAGGTGACATGGCATGGCCTTTGATCCCAATCAGAAGAAAAAAATGGAACCCTGTTCTCCTGAGGAGCCTTGGCAGCTGCTTTCTAAAGTAGGGGTGGAGGTGAGGGGATTACTAATAAATAAGTAAACCTTACATCAGCTGCATGGTCCGGGAACCGGCTCCCTCAGGCCACGTTCTCAGGGGAGCTGCTCCCCTCCTGGCGCCGAGTCCCCAGGGCAGGAGGAACAGGTTTTACTAGGCTGCAAGGAAAGGAGAAAGATCACAGGGGACTCTTCCCTCAAGAAAACCTCCTTCCTCAGAACCTGGACCACATGCCATTAAAGTGAAAGGAGAAACAAACAAACCTTTATGCAGACCCAGACTAAGTGGAAAAAAAAAAAGAAGAAGAAGAAGAACTGCCAGAAAAGGTGGCATCACCTTCCCTGCCTCTGGCTTGGTAGCCCTGACCAGAAAGGGATGAAGGGTCAGCACGTCTAGAACAGTCCTGATTTGGCAGGAAGGGAGAAAGGCTGCCTGAACAACCACATCTGGGTGGTGGGGATCTTTCTTATTTTTTTTTAAGATTTTATTTATTTATTTTTAGAGAGAGGGGAAGGGAGGGTTAGGAAGAGAAACATCGATGTGCGAGAGAGAGATCCATTTGCTGCCTCTTGCATGTCTCCAGCTGGGGACCTGGCCCGCAGCCCAAGCATGTGCCCTGACTGGGGATCGAACCAGCGACTTTTTGGTTCACAGGCCAGTGCTCAATCCACTGAGCCATGCCAGCCAGGGCTGGGTGATGGGGATTCTCAAATCAGGGTTGAGGACAGACCTCCTCCTTCTAGGCCTCTTCCAGGGTCTAGGGTTACCATAGAGCTTGAACCCTGGAGTCCTCACAGAGTCCTGGCCTCTGGCCCACTTTCCCTTCTCTCTGCCAATCACTCTCCTTTATGCTGTTTACGTTCTACCCGGCCTGCAGCTTCCTTCCCTATCACCTAACTCATCTTGTCTCGGATTCCTTGGATCTTTTGGGAACCCCTTTGAGTCTGGAAGTTTGGATGTGGGGCGGCCATGTCAGTGAGGGAGACAGGAATCAGTCCTCTTTGCTTTGGAAGAGCGCCTGCAAGCTTGGAGGGAAAATGTGAGTTGTCCTTTTTGTGAAAACCTCCAGAGAAAGTGGAAGCCAAGACATTTTTTTAATACCAGGAAGAAGTGCTCTGTAGCATAAGAAGTTGAGGTACCCGTAAAATGTATTTTAGCACCTTCTCTGTACTAAAAACTGCTACTTGACACTTTAACTGTTGTCTCAACCCTCATAAGAAGCCTTTAAGGTAGGTAATATTAGTCATATTTTATGTGGATGGAGAAGTTGAGACTTATGAATGTTGTCCAGGATTCAAATTGGAGGCTCAAAGAAGAGAGAACAATTACTCTGAGCATCTTCAAGGATTTCTGGAAGAGGCGGGTCTTGTAAGATGGGCCAAAGTGAATATGTGGGAATGGTAATGGCCTTCAAAGTTAATGTTTTATCTCTGGCCTGGTGTACAGGGTCTTGGATAATCTGGCAGAGCCTACCTTTTGAGTCCTGTCTCCTGCCAGTTCCTTGCTTTATGTTCCAACCAGTTGGAACTGGATATACAGACGGGAATTTCAGGCCGTCGTGCCTCAGCCAAGAGCAGCCCTTTTTCTCACCCCCCTGTGTCCCTGGAGCTCTGCACATCCTTCTGCACCTGGGCCATTTTCTACCGGCTTTGTATCTGGATCAGCGGTACAAGACCCATGGCAACAGTTCAGTAAACGAGCGCATAAATGGGTGGATAGAGCCTGAACTTTGGGAGAAGACAGGTGATGAGCCAAAGAGACCTTGTTGGCCTCATGTCCTTTTTCCTGCCCCCTTTTAGGGCAGAAAGGCCCATTCATAAATCCAGGCCAAAGTCAGCAGAGGCTTCAGTTTCATTGGCTACAACCGGTGCACAGATGGGGTGCATTAGAGCTTGATGATTTAAAGAGTTGGGTTAACTGCCTGACTGTGGGGAAGGACTGAGGGAACTGTGGCTGGCATTGCACAAAGATTCCTTTATTTCACTGTGCAGCCACCCCCGGCGTTAAATAATCTATAGATTCTTATGCAGGTCTGCTTAACGGAAAGATCATTGCCCCAGCCCCCTCCTTGGAAAATGGGCCTTTCTTTTCATTTTGGTTCTCTCTTCCATTTAAGAAAGTTCAGTGAGAGAATGTTTCTCCTGTTCTCCCCTCTTGACATAGTCTCCTATGTGGTTTCAGAATCCGCCCAGTGGGAGTTAGGATCTGGGAAGCAGATAACTGGAGCAGCAGTGTAATTAAATGATACGTGGCGCTTGTAATGGAGCCTTTCATCTGGAAGCTTGACGTTCCATTGTTTGGACTTAAAAAAAAAAAAAAGTGAGTCTGCCTTTATTCTGGAGAAGGTGACACAAAGGTCCAGAGAACTGAAGCTCTGCGCGTAGGGCCAGCAGCAAACTGGAACCAGAATCAGGACTTTGGGCTCCCTTCCTGTCAGTATGCCTGTGCCCATGTGGAACTGTGTGGTTGTCAAGTTTTAAACAATTCGGGCCTATACTGACATGTGGTGTGAAGAATCCTGCACTAAGCCGTGACTGGTGTGGCTCAATTGACTGAGTGTCATCCACAAAGCGAAAGGTCGCCTGTTTGATTCCTGGTCAGGGCACAAAGCTGGGTTGTGGGTTTGGTCCCTGGTGAGGGCGTGTCCAAGAGGCAACCAATCAATTCATGTTTTCGTCTCTTTCTCCCTCCCTTCCCCTCAATAAAAATAAACAAATAACATCTGAAAAAGAAAAAGAAAAACAATCCTGCACTAAGCGTTGCACCTTCCCAGCTTGCTCTAGGTCCCTAGAGGCCTAGTCGCCTGGAATAAACTGTCCAACCTCTGATTCCCAGTTTCTCACTAACAAAATGAGTGAACTCCTTGCTGTGTGTAATGCCTAGGCGCTAGCACTGTGTGCCATCGCCAGAGCACTCCTATGTGGTAGGTGTACCTTATTTAGGGGGAGCAGGTTTACCTCATTGGGTTGTTATGAGGCTGGATGAGATCATAGATGTGTGGGTGGTTTGCAAATCAAAGAAAGCCCTATGCAAGTATAAAGTAGCTCTTCTGCTTTTCTTGGACTTGCTGTCAAGAAAAAAAGGAAAGGCAAGGGGTGGGGTGGAGGGATTATTCCTGCCTGACACCAAGCAAATTTAGATTAGCCAAGATAGCTTCACTTTGGAACGTGGGGCGCAGGCATTGGATAGAGAGGAAAAGGAAACAGGAGAGGTCAGCCGCAAAGCTGCGCATGCTTGCAGAAAGGTACCCATCGCATTTGCTCTGCAAGGTGGTGGGTGGAGGTGGGGAGGTGAGGAACTCTGAATCGATAGCAGAACTATCTAGGGAATGCGCTGAGGAGGCACCCTGCGATTCCTTTCTTGGGGGTGTTGTGGTCTAAGTGCTGGAGTGTTTGCACGTATAGAGGTATTTTGAGTTGGCATGAGAAATTGCTCACACTGTTGTTTCCTACTTAATGGTGCAAGCCTCAGGATAAAAATACGCCTTGGTTATAAAATAATAATGGTTTCAATTGGAACAGGTAGTTGCCCTGAGTGAGAACAATGTAAATGCGCTTTTCAGTGAGTCCTGTTAGGGAAGCCTGGATCTTGACAAAGCTTTTCCCTGAATATTTTCTGTCTCTAGTCATTCCCTTCTCTCCCACCTGCTAACCTCCCAGCAGGCCCTTTGGGAATGGTGAATTGGCTTAATCTGTCCTGAGCCCACTCTAGGGACCGGGGCTTCACCTCAAGGCCCGGGGAGCTTCAGTGCACCGGGTCCCTGGAGGGAAGGTGTTGCAGGAGGCTCTGGAGTTGGGGCCCAGTGAAGGTGACAGGAAGAAACCTCTTGCTCACCCTCCAAAACTGTTTTTTACTATGTCACATATTTAGGTCAGTTCTCTTCTGGGGTGACAAATGCAGAATTCCCCGAGGCGCAGGTCATCGAGCCCAGCCCCTCTTCATGAGGAAACAGGCCGCAGGGCCCTCAGTGACCAGCTGAGGTCACACGGCCTTGGAGCCAGGTGTCCCTGCCTCACAGCCCTCAACTGCACTCTGTGTGAACAGCGGAGATCTGGCTCCACCCGTTTTCAGGAGCTGGGCCTCCTCCTGAGGTTCGGAGCTCTTAGGAGGCAGGTTCTTTTTGTTCCCTGTGGGGTCCCCTTGGGCTTACAGTGGTGGCCTTTTGGTTTTCCCTTTCTGCCTAGACATGAGGTGAAGCATGGCTGTCAAAACCCTGAGATAAGTGGCAGGGAACGACATTCTGAAGCGTCGTGTGGCTCCGGTCATGGTTGAGAGGCCCGCTCTGCCGCGGTTTCCCACCGCTGCTCCTAAGCACCAGTGTTCGATACTAGCGATGCTCGAAAAGCCTTGCACCCCTGACACAGTGGCTTAGAGGTGGTGGGCGCGGAGGGAGTGCTCGTGGGGAAGCACAGAAATCTGACCCGTTCTGTCAGGGATTCATTTCTCTGAATT